TCCCCCAACTCCTCCCCAAGCCTGGAGCGCTCCTGGGGGTTGTTGTGACCCAAGAGCAGGACCCACCACTTGGCCTTGTTGAAACTCATGTAATTGGTCCTGGCCCATGGATCCAGCCTGGCCAGATCCCTCTGCAGAGCCCCCCAACCCTCCAGCAGATCCACACTCCCACCCATGACCCAGCCTGTGCAGGTCCCTCTGCAGAGCCTCCCTACCCTCAAGCAGATCAACACTCCCACCCAGCTTGGTGTCGTCTGCAAACTGACCGAGGGTGCCCTCCATCCCCTCATCCAGATCATTGATGGAGACATTCAAGCAGGACTGACCCCAGTACCAAGCCTGGGGAACACTACTGGTGACCAGCCACCAACTGGGTTTAACTCCATTCCCCACCCCTCTTTGGTCTTGGCTCCCCAGCCAGTTCTTTACCCAGCAAAATAGATGCCCATCCAAGCCATGAGCAGCCAGTTTCTACAGGAGAATGCTGTGGAAAATGGTGTCAAAGTCCAGGCAGAAAATGTCCATAGCCTTTCCTTCATCCACTAAGCAGGTGACCATGTTGTAGAAGGAGATCAGGTTGTTCAAGCAGGACCTGTCCTCATAAACCCACACTGACTGGGTTTGATCATTGGGTTGTCCTACGTGTACTGCATGGTGGCACTCAGGATGATCTGAGAAGCTCCATCAGCTTCCCCAGTATCGAAGTCAAACTGAGGGGCCTGTAGCTTCCTGGATCCTCCTTCCGGTCCTTCTTGTATTGTTGAATTACCAAATATTATTAAAATGTTAAAAATCTCTTTTGTTTTGACTCAAAATTGATGTTCACGACCATTACTGACTCGTACGGTCTCTCTTTTCCCTGGAAAGGTTCATCAATGCCCGACGGCGCATCCTGCAGCCGATGCTCGACGCCAGCAACCCGGACCCAGCCCCTAAAGCCAAGAAAATCAAATCTCAGCACCGACCCACCCAACGGTTCTGGCCCAACTCCATCGCCGCTGGGGTCCTGCAGCAGCAGGGTGGCAATTCGGGGACAAATCCTGATGGTAAGGACAACCCCTGATGGTCCCTGCCCTTCCCGGGTGGGGTGATCACCCATTAAATTATGGCCTTAATTGGCAATTAAGGATTTCTAAAGCTCTTTATCACCCTGTGGGGAAAAACAAGTTGAAGAAGTGGCCCATGCAAGAAGGTCCTTCCAGTTGGCCATCACCAAGGAGCTGGCAATGGGGCACTGCCATCTCCTCAGCAGAGGAACAGACCTCAAGGATCACCCACTATGGGGCTTCACTTGGGATATCTCCTGAGGTGCTGGGGAGGAGGTGGAAGGAGACATGGGGAGAGGAGGGAAGGCAAAGTGAAAAACAGATGAAAAGATGAAGATGAGAAGACAGATGAGACAAGATGGGAAGAGAGAAGATGAAGAGACAATGATGAAAAGAACAGATGATGAAAATGAAGATGAGAAGACAGATGAGGTAAGATGAGAAGAGAGAAGATGGAGAGAACAATGATGAAAATGAAGAGGAACAGAGAAGATGAAGATGAGATGAGAAGACAGATGAGACAAGATGGGAAGAAAGATGAAGAGAAGATGATGTAGAGAACAGATGATGAAAATGAAGAGTAGAAAAGATGAAGATAAGATGAGAAGACATAAGATGGGAAGAGAGAAGATGATGATAAAATGAATAGATGATGAAAATGAAGAGGAGTAGAGAAGATGAAGACAAGATGAGAAGAGGGAAGATGGAGAGAACAGATGATGGAAATGAAGAGGAACAGAGAAGATGAAGATGAGATGAAAAGACAGATGAGACAAGACAGGAAAAGAAGAGAAGATGATGAAGATGAGTAGAGAAGAGGAAGGTGAAGAGAGCAAAGCATGGACCAGACAAGATGAGAAGAGAGAAGATGAAGGGAAGGTGGAAATTAAGAGAAGATGAAGGAAAGATCTCCCCAACCAATTTGTGCATCTGCTTGCTCTAAAATGAAGGTTTATTGTTATTCAACGAAGACAGAGTAGTTACAAAAATGAAAGGTTGGACCTTGGGGTTGGGGCAGGTTGGACACCCTCCAGGGTGCTCTGTCTTGGTACAACTTTTTTGCTGGGGTTATTCTTGGGTTTTGCACTTTTTGGTCCTTTTTATATTAGGAGAAGAACTTATTTATATATATTTTTTTTTTTTAAATTTCAGGCTCACTCAGCATGGACAACCTGCAGCCCCTGTCATCAGCCACGGCCACCATGGCCATGCAACAGGCCATGCTGGCGGCCCACGACGACTCCCTCGATGGCACTGAGGAAGAGGAGGAAGATGAGGAAGATGAGGACGAGATGGAGGAGGAGGAAGAAGAGGAGGAAGAGCTGGAGGAAGAGCCTGGTGGCCTCCCAGTGGCGCCCGGTGCCGACCTCGGCTTGGACCACAGTGACTCACTAGAATAGCTCCTCTTGCGCCCTCCTCAAATCACTGACAGCACCGGAAACAAAATTTCCCCCTAAAATGCCAAAAAAATCGGCAAGAACAAACAAAATTGATGATAAAAAAAGGAAATTTGAGACGCTGGCGGATGTCCCGGCTGCCCACAGGAGCGCGGGGACCACCACGTCGGCGCATGGACGTGAAGGACACGTGTTTACAAGGCACATATTGTGGCCAGATTAATTTTTTTTTCAGGTTTTCTTCTTATTTTTTCCCTTTTTCCTTTCATTTTTTGGTAAAAAAAAAAAGAAAAAGAAAAAGGATTTTTTTTAGGGGAAACTCTTTTCCCCAGATGACGCTCGGACGCTGTTGGGCACCAGCGGGTTTTCACCATGGGCCACCACCGCGTCCATCACTTGGATTTCTTGGTGCAAAAAGCAAAAAAACCCAAAACTCAACAAACCCCAACCAACCAACCCCAAGACTGATGCTTTTTTGGGTTTTTTTCCCCCCAAAAAGATGATTCACAGGCAGAAATATCAGCACGTGGGAGAAAAAAAAAACAATCAACGAGTGGAAATTCTGCTTCAGGTCGCATCTGAGGAGGGTTTCGTGCTCTTGACCCACCAGATTGCCCAAATCACCCGGTTTTGGCCCCAATTCTGTGGATCTTTGGTGACTCTGGATGCAATTTCTGGAAAAAAGGGAGGAAATTCCCCCAAATCCTTTTAATTTATGTGCTAAAACCCCATCAAATCTGGAAAAAAACCCCTCCACCTCATCCTCATCCTTAAGGGGTGAAACTGGATGTAGAGTTGGGGCAAAAGCTGCCAGGATCGAGACTTTTCCAAGGCACCGAGTTGGGAAAAAATAATTTAAAAAAATCTAGATTTTCACCCAAAATCGAACGGTGACTTGTGTGGGTGGGAGGAAATTCAATATTGTTGTTGGAAAGTTGAATTTCTCCCTGATATTGTCCCCCTGTGCAGGAAAATGGTGATTTTACCCCAAAATGAGCCATGGGGGAGGGCAGCTTTGCAAAAAACCCAGCGTATTTTAGTTTATGTTTTTTTGTTTTTTAGTTTTTTGGGTTTTTTTAATGCAAAATTTTAAAAAAGGGTAAATTTCACCTTAAAACGTGGCGCGGGGAAACGGAAAAGCAAAGCCGGGTGGTGTGGGGCAAAAATAATAAAGGAATTTTCCTCCTGTAAATGCAGATTTCTGTAAGAAGGATTATTTTTTATTATTATTTTTCAGCTTTTTGTCTTTTTTTTTGTTTGTTTTTAAAGAATCCTCCAAAAATGAATGAATATCCCCCAAAATAGGCAAAAAAAACCCCTTTAAAATTGATGAAATCAGCCTCAAAAATGGGTGAACTGACCGAAATCTGCAATTGATTTATAATTCCAGAAGTGTTGTTCCCCCCCCAAAAAAGTGATGTTCCTCCCACCAAAAAAATGAGCTTTTAACCCAAAATGAATGATGCTCCCCTCAAAATGAGTGATGCTCCCCCAAAATGAGTGATGCTCCCCCAAAATGTTATACTCACCCCGAAAATAAAGGATGCACAGCTGACAATGAGTGATATTCTCCAAAAATGCTCCCCAAAAAGGAATTACCCAAGAGGGCTAACGCCCCTCAAAAATGAGTGATTCTCCCCCAAAAATGAGTGATTTTCCCTCCAGATTAGTGATTCTCCCCCAAAATGTGTGATGCTTACCCCAAAATGAGTGATATTCTCCAAAAACAACTGATTCTCTTCCAAAATATTTTCTTTTTTCCCCAAAACGAGTGTTGCTCACTTAAAAATTAGTTGTATTTCCAAAAATGACTGTTTCTCTCCCCAAATTATTTATATTCTCCAAAAATGAGTGATTCTCCCCCAAAATGTGTGATGCTTACCCCAAAATTCTTTATATTCTCAAAAAATGAGATTCTTTCCCAAAAATGAGTGATTCTCTCCCAAAATGTGATTTTCTCTCAAAATGAGTGAATCTCCCCCAAAATGTGTGAGATGCTCACAAAATGGCTAATTCCCCCCCCAAACGAGTTCTAGTCTCCAAAATACAGATTCTCCCCCAAAATGTGATTTTCTCTCAAAATGAGTGAATCTCCCCCAAAATGTGTGAGATGCTCACAAAATGGCTAATTCCCCCCCCAAACGAGTTCTAGTCTCCAAAATACAGATTCTCCCCCAAAATATTTGATTTTTGACCCAAAATGAGTGATTTTCCCCTCAAAATGTGTGTTGCTCACCCCAAAATTAGTTATATTTCCAAAAATGAGGGATTTCCCCCCAAAATGAGGGGTTTTCTACCCAAAATGTGTGATTCTCCCCAGAACGTGTGCTACTCACCCCAAAATGGGTGATATTCTCCCAAAATGAGGGATTTTTCCCCAAATTGAGCAAATCTCCCCCAAAATTCATGACTTTCCCCTAAATGCCCCAATTTGCCCCCAAAATAGACTCCACTTTCCAAAAACCGAGCAACGACCCCCAAAAAGAGTGATAACCCCCCCTAAACCTGACTAATTCACCCCCAAATGGAAGCGCACCCCCCTAATTAGCCATCACTAATTAACACTGGTGTTTTTTTGGGTTAAAAAAGGTGATTTTGGCACAATTTGGAGCAGAAAAAAAAGTGAAAAAAATGAGGAAAAACCCCCCCCCCAACCCTCCTAAAAATTGAATTTTCAGGTGAATTTTCACCCTCGGATGGTGGCTGGTTCTGAGCAACCAGCAGCTCATGAGTCAGAAATTTGCATATTTTCTAAAACTGATGAATATTCATGAGTGCAGCAGTTTTTAAAACCCCAGCAGGTGTTTTTTGGGGGTTTTTTTGGCCCCAAAATTGCGTTTTTTTTTAAACCAAAAAGTTGCCGAATGACGTGGTGAGCGGCGCGGGGGTGGGATGAAGATGCCAGAGGCCGGTTGATTAATTAATGAAACGAATTAATTTATTTCCCAGCTGTGCAAAGGGGGGGGTGGG